ATAATAATATAATATGGGGCTATATGACATGCTATAATAATATAATAATATAATATGGAGCTATATGACATGCTATAATAATATAATAATATAATATGGGGCTATATGACATGCTATAATAATATAATAATATAATATGGAGCTATATGACATGCTATAATAATATAATAATATAATATGGAGCTATATGACATGCTATAATAATATTACAATAAGCACAGTGTTTATTTATTAATTAATAGATTATTATTATTCTATCGCTGTATTTCTAGAACTGACCATAAAACACAAATTACCTGCAGTATTGAGGCTGCACTGAGCACACCCAGGAAACACACTGACAGACCGGAAGTCCCACACCGGAAATTAGACGACGGAAGTTACGTCATGTTTGCGTGTCGCGGCACTTCCGTGTTTGTGTTCCATTCAGTCTCGGCCATCATTATGAGACGTCACAAACAGTCGCAAAGCCAGCCGGGAGTTTTAGTGCTTGTGCTGTTTAACGTATCTCCGCGTCTAATCAGATGGTTTCTGGGAATTGTAGTCTTTCTCACTTCCTTTATATAGTGAGTGCTAAGGAAGGGAGACTACAACTCCCATGATGCACAGCAAACACTCACAGTGAGAGCCTGAGCCTGGAGCCAGATTTATAACCCAGAAAATAGAGTTCATTATTATTATTATTAATTATTATTATTATTATACTGCTAGGTCTGAATATAGAGTTTATTATTATTATTATTAATACTGCTAGGTCTGAATATAGAGTTTATTATTATTAATTATTATTATTATTAATACTGCTAGGTCTGAATATAGAGTTTATTTTTATTATTAATAATACTGCTAGGTCTGAATATAGAGTTTATTATTATTATATTATTATTATTATTATTAATTATTAATTATTATTATTATTTTTATTAATACTGGTAGGTCTGAATATAGAGTTTATTATTATTTTATTATTATTATTATTATTAATACAGCTAGGTCTGAATATAGTGTTTAGTATTATTATTATTATTAATACTGGTAGGTCTGAATATAGAGTTTATTATTATTATTATTATTGTTAATTATTATTATTATTATTATTATTATTATTATTATTATACTGCTAGGTCTGAATATAGAGTTTATTATTATTATTATTATTATTAATACTGCTAGGTCTGAATATAGAGCTTATTATTATTATTATTATTAATACTGCTAGGTCTGAATATAGAGTTTATTATTATTATTATTATTATTGTTAATTATTATTATTATTATTATTATTATTATTATTATTATTATTATACTGCTAGGTCTGAATATAGAGTTTATCATTAATACTGCTAGGTCTGAATATAGAGTTTATTATTATTATTATTATTATTATTATTATTAATACTGCTAGGTCTGAATATAGAGCTTATTATTATTATTATTAATACTGCTAGGTCTGAAAATAGAGTTTATTATTATTATTATTATTATTATTATTATTATTAATAATAATAATAATAATTATTATTATTATTATTATTATAATTATTATACTGCTAGGTCTGAATATAGAGTTTATTATTATTATTATTATTATTATTATTATTAATACTGCTAGGTCTGAATATAGAGTTTATTATTATTATTATTATTATTATTATTATTATTAATACTGCTAGGTCTCAATATAGAGTTTATTATTATTATTATTATTAATACTGCTAGGTCTGAATATAGAGCTTATTATTATTATCATTATTATCATTATTATTAATACTGCTAGGTCTGAATATAGGGTTTATTATTATTATTATTATTATTATTATTATTATTATTATTATTAACACTGGTAGGTCTGAATATAGAGTTTATTATTATTATCATTATTATTAATACTGCTAGGTCTGAATATAGGGTTTATTATTATTATTATTATTATTATTAATACTGGTAGGTCTGAATATAGAGTTTATTATTATTATCATTATTATTAATACTGCTAGGTCTGAATATAGGGTTTATTATTATTATTATTATTATTATTAATACTGGTAGGTCTGAATATAGAGTTTATTATTATTATTATTATTATTAAAACTGCTAGGTCTGAAAATAGAGTTTATTATTATTATTATTATTTTTAATTATTATTATTATTATTATTATTATTATTATTATTATTATTATTATTATTATTATTATACTGCTAGGTCTGAATATAGAGTTTATCATTAATACTGCTAGGTCTGAATATAGAGTTTATTATTATTATTATTATTATTATTATTATTATTAATACAGCTAGGTCTGAATATAGAGTTTATTATTATTATTAATACTGCTAGGTCTGAATATAGAGCTTATTATTATTATTATTATTAATACTGCTAGGTCTGAATATAGAGCTTATTATTATTATTATTATTATTATTAATAATAATAATAATAATAATACAGCTAGGTCTGAATATAGAGTTTATTATTATTATTATTATTAATACTGCTAGGTCTGAATATAGAGTTTATTATTATTAATACTGCTAGGTCTGAATATAGAGTTTATTATTATTATTATTATTATTATTATTATTATTATTATTAATACTGCTAGGTCTGAATATAGGGTTTATTATTATTATTATTATTAATACTGCTAGGTCTGAATATAGAGTTTATTATTATTATTATTATTAATAATAATAATACAGCTAGGTCTGAATATAGAGTTTATTATTATTATTATTATTATTATTATTAATACTGCTAGGTCTGAATATAGGGTTTATTATTATTATTATTATTATTATTATTATTATTATTAATACTGCTAGGTCTGAATATAGAGTTTATTATTATTATTATTATTAATAATAATACAGCTAGGTCTGAATATAGAGTTTATTATTATTATTATTATTATTATTAATACTGCTAGGTCTGAATATAGGGTTTATTATTATTATTATTATTATTATTATTAATACTGATAGGTCTGAATATAGAGTTTATTATTATTATTATCATTATTAATACTGCTAGGTCTGAATATAGAGTTTATTATTATTGTTAATTATTATTATTATTATTATTATTATTATTATTAATAATACAGCTAGGTCTGAATATAGAGCTTATTATTATTATTATTATTAATACTGCTAGGTCTGAATATAGAGTTTATTATTATTATTATTATTATTAATACTGCTAGGTCTGAATATAGAGCTTATTATTATTATTATTAATACTGATAGGTCTGAATATAGGGTTTATTATTATTATTATTGTTAATTATTATTATTATTATTATTATTATACTGCTAGGTCTGAATATACAGTTTATCATTAATACTGCTAGGTCTGAATATAGAGTTTTTTATTATTATTATTATTATTATTATTATTATTATTAATACAGCTAGATCTGAATATAGAGTTTATTATTATTATTATTATTATTAATACTGCTAGGTATAAAGCTCTTCACTGTAGGAGTTATAGTTTTTAAGATACGACCGTTTGAAGATGGCAACCGCCAAAATACTCTGACCTGTGTCAAGCTGCAGCAGCAAGTGATGTCATAGACAGGGCCTGTTGAACACCTGCTAATGTTTTTATAAATGTATGGTTTTATGTAACTGTGCAACAACGTTGCAATTAAATGTGCTATGTAAATGATAACAGTTACTCCACCCACTCCAGTTGTAGACTCCTGGTGGAGGCAAGAACACTTCACACAATTTCCCCAGAAATTGTAGCTTTTCTAGTTATTATTATTATTATTATTATTATTATTATTATTAATACTGCTAGGTCTGAATATAGAGTTTATTATTATTATTAATACTGCTAGGTCTGAATATAGAGTTTATTATTATTATTATTATTATTATACTGCTAGGTCTGAATATAGAGTTTATTATTAATACTGCTAGTTCTGAATATAGAGTTTATTATTATTATTATTATTAATACTGCTAGGTCTGAATATAGAATTGATTGTTATTATTAATACTGCTAGGTCTGAATATAGTGTTTATTATTATAATAATAATTATTATTACTGCTAGTAGTGAATATAGAGTTTATTATTATTATTAATACTGCTAGGTCTGAATATAGAATTGATTGTTATTATTAATACTGCTAGGTCTGAATATAGTGTTTATTATTATAATAATTATTATTATTACTGCTAGTAGTGAATATAGAGTTTATTATTATTATTAATACTGCTAGGTCTGAATATAGAGTTTAGTATTATAATTATTATTAATACTGCTAGGTCTGAATATAGAGTTTATTATTATTATTATAATTATTAATACTGCTGGGTCTGAATATAGAGTTTATTATTATTATTAATACTGCTAAGTCTGAATATAGTGTTTATTATTATTATTATTATTAATATTAATACTGCTAGCACTGCATATAGAGTTTATTATTATTATAATTATTTCTAATACTGATAGGTCTGAATATATAATTTATTATTTTTATAAATATTATTAATACTGCTAGGTCTGAATATAGAGTTTATTATTATAATTATTATTAATACTGCTAGGTGTGAATACAGAATTTATTATTATTAATACTGCTAGGTCTGAATATATTGTTTATTATTATTATTATTATTATTAATACTGCTAGGTCTGAATATAGAGTTTATTATTATTATTATTAATACTGCTAGGTCTGAATATAGAGTTTATTATTATTATTATCATACTGCTAGGTCTGAATATAGAGTTTATTATTACTATAATTATTATTAATACTGCTAGGTCTGAATATAGTGTTTATTATTATAATAATTATTATTATTACTGCTAGTACTGAATATAGAGTTTATTATTATTATTATCATTAATACTGCTAGTTCTGAATATAGTGTTTATTATTATTATTATTATTATTAATACTGCTAGGTCTGAATATAGTGTTTATTATTATTATTATTATTATTATTATTATTAATACTGCTAGGTCTGAATATAGAGTTTATTATTATTATAATTATTATTAATACTGCTAGGTGTGAATACAGAATTTATTATTATTATTATTAATACTGCTAGGTCTGAATATAGTGTTTATTATTATTATTATTTTTATTATTAATACTGCTAGGTCTGAATATAGAGTTTATTATTATTATTATTAATACTGCTAGGTCTGAATATAGAGTTTATTATTATTATTATTATTATTAATACTGCTAGGTCTGAATATAGAATTTATTATTATTATTATTATTAATACTGCTAGGTCTGAATATAGAATTGATTGTTATTATTAATACTGCTAGGTCTGAATATAGAATTTATTATTTTTATAATTATTATTAATACTGCTAGGTCTGAATATAGTTTTTATTTTTATTGTTATAATTATTATTAATACTGCTAGTACTGAATATAGTGTTTATTATTATCATTAATAATACTATTAATACTGCTAGCACTGAATATAGTGTTTATTATTATTAATATAAATACTGCTAGGCCTGAATATAGAGTTCATTATTATTATTATAATTATTAATACTGTTGGGTCTGAATATAGAGTTTATTATTATTATTATTAATACTGCTTGGTCTGAATATAGTGTTTTTTATTATTATAATATTATTAATTCTGCTAGGTCTGAATATAGTGTTTATTATTATTAATACTGCTAGCACTGACTGTAGTGTTTATTATTAAGTGTTCTTGCATAGCAAGACTACTTAATGTTATCTCACATATATATTATCATTATTATAGCCAAATTTACCACCCTGACTCCTCCCACAGTTTTTACACTACATAGACAGTAATATACCGAAACGTGCGTATTGTTCCCGATTGGTGCATTATTACTTTGTGGAACGTTTCGCCGAATGGTTCACAGAATATCATCGTTCTTGTGGCGAAATTGGTTCCATAGGAAGGAATGGCGAAATGTTCAAAACTAGAAAGGGAGCTGGCAAAAGCTGAAAAATGAGGACATGATTTCTAAACTGCCACCACTCCCTCATTTTCAAGCCCACCTACACAAATCTTATATCAAAACGTTCAGCTATCCCTGCTGCCACTAAAAATGTCCACGGCTAAGCCATAGTCCTAATAGATTTTACAATATGACCATGTGTTTGCAACTCACGCCGTCCATTGACATTCATTGAAACTCCACTCTAGCCACCTAAAATTTGAAGGTCAATATCTAAACTGCGACTGTGCCTTCATTTTTAATATTTCAGAGACATAATATGCATCAAGATGTATCAAAATGTAGGTCTGGGTCTTGTGATTCTCTGTCAGGATCAAGACCGGGATCCAACACGCAGTGTACTAAAAACTAGAAAGGCGTATACCGGACCTTAGAGTGGCCGGACTAACGTCACACGGACAAAGAATGGTCAGAAACAAGCCGAGGTTGAGGAAATGAGAAGACAGGCAAGCGAAAGCCAAGCCGAGTATAAGGGTAGGAGAAAGAAGCAAAGTCAAGATACAAAGCCAAGTCAAGTACCAAAAATTAACAATCTGAATAGCACTGATGGAACAGACAAGCTAGAACCACGACAGGGCAATTACTCATTGTAAGTGAGTACCTTTTATACCTTGGCTCTTTAAATGATGTCCATGCCCCCAAAACGTCCTGATTCGAATATTTTGGCGGGCCGTGATCTCGGCGGCGTTGCGCCACTTCATTAAAGGGGGCGGAGCTATTGCGTCCGGCGTCTAAATGGCCGAAATGACTGGAGAAGATGTTTTTTTTTCTGTCCCTTCCTGGGAATAGGCGTCCAGATGCCCGATCTCCTCCAAATTGGATACAACAGTACCCCCTGCTTAGGAACACCCACTGGGCGGAAGGGGCCAGGACAAGAAGGAAAGCGAGCATGAAATGCCTGGAGAAGAAGAGGGGCATGGATATTCTCATGAGCTACGCAGGACCTTTCTTCAGGACCATAACCTTTCCAGTCAACAAGATACTGTAATTTCCCACGAGAAATACGAGAGTCGAGAACGAATTTGACTACATATTCCTCCTGACCCTCAACCTGAACAGAAGAGGGAGCGGTTGAAACTAAGGTATATCTATTACAAATGAGAGGTTTCAATAGTAAAACATGAAAAGAGTGCGTAGAGCAGGAGGAAGAGCAAGTTGATAAGAAACGGAGTTGATCCTCCGTAAGACCTTGTAATGTCCTATGTAACGAGGTTCGAACTTCATGGCTGAAACCCTTAAGCGGATGTGTCTGGTACTCGACCATACCTTTTCACCCGGGTGAAAAACAGGAGCAGGCCTTCTGCGTTTATCCGCTTGCTTAACTAAAGCAGAATTTTGAATAAGAACTTGATGAATCTGATCCCACAACTTCCTCAGATTGGCGACATGTTCATCAACCATCGGTATACCCTGTGATGGAGATACAGACGGAAGAATGGTAGGATGAAAGCCATAATTCATGAAGAAGGGGCTAGTACGAGTAGAATCACAAACAAGATTGTTGTGTGCAAACTCCACCCAAGGAATCAGACCAACCCAATTATCTTAGTGTTCAGAAACAAAATATCGTAAATATTGTTCAATCTTTTGGTTAGTACGCTCGGCTGCCCCATTAGATTGGGGATGGTAGGGTGACGAGATATTTAACTTGATACCCAACTGGGAACAGAAAGATTTCCAAAAATGAGATACAAATTGGGAACCTCTATCTGAGACAATATCCATAGGAATTCCGTGTAAGCGAAAAATTTCCTTCGCAAAAATTTCAGCTTTCGGGTGTCGAAGGAAGTTTATGCAAAGGGAATAAGCCATTTTAGTAAATCTGTCAATAACTGTGAGGATAACTGTTTGTTTATTGGATACTGGTAATTCAACAATAAAGTCCATAGCTAAATTGGACCATGGTTTCTTTGGTATATCCGAAGGTTGAAGTAAACCACATGGAAGAGTATGTGGTTGTTTATTTTGGGCACATATTACATGACGTAGTCTCTTATATCCCTGCGTAAGGTAGACCACCAGAAGTTTTGGGAAATCAGAGAATAAGTCTTGTGTATGCCTGGGTGCCCAGTAACCTTACTGTTATGAAAGCATAAAAGTAATTCTCCTTGGAGATTGGGAGGAACATAATACTTTCCCTCTGGAGCTATGCATTGTTCTTTCTCAATATTGGAGAGTAAAGGTGAGTGTACTTTCACACTGGTATTGGCTATAATATTTTGCTTGGGAACAATGAAAGACAAAGGAGTTTCCGTGAATGTAGTAGGTTCATGTTGACGTGCAGAGCATCTGCTTTAGTATTCTTGGAACCTGGTCTGTAGGTAAGTACGTAATTAAAATGGGTAAGAAATAAGGACCAACGAGCCTGCCTGGTGGATAATCTCTTGACCTCTCCTATGTAAGATAAATTCTTATGGTCTGTCAAAATAGTGATTGGTTGTAAAGTCCCTTCTAACAGATGTCTCCATTCCTTCAAAGCCATTATTACCGCAAACAGTTCCCTGTCTCCAAAATCATACCCTTTCTCTGTATTGGACAATTTTTTAGAGAAGAATCCACATGGATGTAATGGTTTATCCAACCCTTTTCCTTGAGATAATACTGCCCCTATACCTGTCTCAGAAGCATCTACCTCCAAAAAAGGTAAAGCGGTGTCTGGATGAACCAATTTTGGGGCAGAAGCAAAAGTCTCCTTGAGAGTCTCAAAGGCAGATAAAGCCTCTGTAGTCCAAGTCTTGGTATCAGCACCCTTTTTCGTCATATTAGTTATGGGTGCTATTATAGATGAGAATCCTTTGATGAAGCGCCTATAGTAATTGGAAAATCCGATAAACCTCTGTATGGCTTTGAGTCCTCTAGGCAAAGGCCAATGTATGATAGATCTAAGTTTAATCGGGTCCATCTTAAAGCCATCTCCGGAAATGACATAACCTAGAAAACTTATCTGAGATTGATCAAAACTACACTTCTCCAATTTGCAATACAACCCATGTTGTAAAAGTTTACGCAACATCTTTCTCACTTGCCTGTGATTAATTTCTCTGTCTCTAGAATGTATCAGTATATCGTCCAGGTATACTATTACGCATTCTTGTTGAAATTCCCTCAAAACTTCATTGATTAAATCTTGAAAGACAGCTGGGGCATTACATACCCCGAATGGCATTACTGTGTACTCATAATGACCGTAACGAGTATTGAATCCAGTTTTCCATTTGTCTCCTTGCTGAATTCTTACCAAGTTATAAGCTCCTCTTAAGTCCAATTTGCTAAAAATGTTGGAACCTTTAAGTCTATCAAATAACTCGGTGATCAGGGGAATGGGATAGGCATTCCTAATAGGTTTTTTTTTGTTTAGGCATTTTAGTAGCCTTCTTTGTGTTATATTTTTTTGCAGTCTGAGTGCGCCGCAACTATTTATTCTCTCATGTAGTTTGGTCACTGCGGCAGCACCTTTCATGCAAAATGCAGGTCCCGGGAGTGCCCCCTATGCTTTCTCTGTTTCTCTGTACACATGATAGCTCTTGTGTGACCGTACTGATTGGGTGCGGTCAGGTGAGGCTGCAAGCTGTGAGCCATGATCGTACTCCCCATTTGAAGACCACCCACCAGGCAGAAAGGACCCAGTTTAAAAGGAAAGCAGGCATGGAATGAGTGGGGAAGGTGACCCGCATGGACGTCCAAAGTGCAGACCGAGGAGCACTCCCCAGGATCATACCTCTTTCAATCAAGCTGATACTGCAAAGAACCACAAGATAACCTGGAATCCAAAACAGAACGTATCTCGTACTCCTCCTTACCCTCAACCACCAAAGTAAGAGGAGGGACAGAAGGAATGGTATAATGATTACACACAAGAGGTTTGAGCAAAGAAACTTGGAAAGTCTGAGGAATATGGAGGCCAGCAGGAAAATCCAGCATATAAGATACAGGGTTGACCTTACGTAAGACACAGAAAGGACCAATGTATCTAGGAGCGAATTTCATAGTGAGCACCTTGAGTTTCATGTACCTCATGGATAGCCATACCCTGTTACCAACCTAATATTATGGCGCAGCACCCAGCCGTTTATCAGCATGCAGCTTTAAATGATAAGCTGCAGCAACCAAGGCAGAATGCACCTGATCCCAGGCCTTTTCCATGGAGGCTAGAGCCTCATCCAAGGCAGGAATAGCTGTATTAGAGAACTCAGAAGGTTATACAGCAAGATGGAGACCATAAGTCACACAGAATGGACTATGGCTAGACGAGTCATGAGTAACATTATTCCTGGCAAATTCTGCCCAAGGTAAGAGGTCATACCAGTAATTTTGGGCATCCTTAATAAAACATCTCAGGTATGCCTCCAGTGACTGGTTAGCTCTCTCAGCAGCACCATTAGTTTGCGGATGGTAAGAAGATGAAAAGGACAAATCAATGCTGAGCTGCTTACAAAAGGACCTCCAGAACAAACTGGGTACCTGTCAGAGACAATGTTTTGAGGTATACCATGCAACCAAACTATCTCCCTGATAAAAACAAAGGCTAGATCATGTGAAGAAGGTGGTTTCATAAGAGGGACGAAATGGGCCATTTTGGAAAAACAGTCAACAACCATAAGTATAGCGTTATAATCACTAGAGACGGGTAACTGAACTATGAAATCCATGGATATAGGAGACCATGGTATAAGCAGTATAGGTAGTGGTTGTAACAACCCACATTTCAACTGAAGCGATACCTTAAAGACAGCACAAGTCTTGCAAGCATTAACGTATGCAATAACATCAATTCTGAGAGAGGGCCACCAGAACTGTCTAGTAACCGCTAAAATAGTCTTGCGTATACCAGGATGACCTTCCATTACGTTATTATGGAACATGTTGAATATAGCCTTTCTTTCAGATTCAGGAATGAATAAGGTTCCTGAAGGATAAGAACTTGGTGCCTGAATTTGAGCCCCTATTATGACAACAAGAAGAGGTGTAGACCAATGGTTCCAAAACTTTTTAGGTTGAAGGCGCCCTTAGTATTTCTACATATTTTTAAATAAATTACATAATAATAAACACCGCTGAGACTTCCAGGATCACCTATGTTTGTTCCAAGTCATCCGAAGTGTTCGGCGTTCGGTGAAACCAAACTCCCGAACGAGGGGAACACGACTAGCTTTCTAACATACAGTTATTTGGGATATTTCGTTACATTTGAAGTTCACAAAAGAGACCGGCCACACCACCTAAAATCTATGGAACTATTCTGGGCAGGAACCTCGTGTACGGTCGGTCAGAAATAAGACTCTCACAAAACTCCCGAACCCCTGAACCAATCTGGGTGATTTTGGGATATGTTGCTCACCCAGATCGGGGCTATCAGGGGACATACTTTTTATGGGGTACTTTTGTGTTGTCTGTAAATTGTGGGGTTTTTTTTCGCCTGGAGATAATTGAGTTGATACAGTAAATGACTCAATTATCTCCCAGGCAGAGGGGAGGGATTGTATGCTATGTGTGGGAGTGTCATACTGTATAACCCTGTTATTATTGGTCTGTAATTAAGTATTGTAGTCTCCCACACGGTCCATGTACAGGAGGTTGGGGTTTTGTACAGGGGGGCTGGGGTTTTGTAAAGGGGGATGGAGGGGCTGGGGTTTTGTACATGGAGGTTGGAGTTTTGTACAGGGAGGCTGGAGTTTTGTACAGGTGGATGGAGGGGCTGGGGTTTTGTACAGGGAGGTTGGGGTTTTGTACAGGGAGGTTAGGGTTTTTCACAGGGGGTCTGGGGTTTTGTAAAGGGGGATGGAGGGTCTGGGGTTTTGTACAGGGAGGTTGGGGTTTTGTACAGGGAGGTTAGGGTTTTGCACAGGGGGGCTGGGGTTTTGTAAAGGGGGATGGAGGGGCTGGGGTTTTGTACAGGGAGGCTAGAGTTTTGTACAGGTGGGTGGAGGGGCTGGGGTTTTGTACAGGGAGGTTGGGGTTTTGTACATGGGGGCTGGGGTTTTGTAAAGGGGGATGGAGGGGCTGGGTTTTTTTAGTAGGCCTGCTGTGCTGGGGAAGCCATGCCAGTACATTGATGGGAATGTTATTAGCATGCTGCGCCTCCAGTTCCATCCATTGGGTTGGGTGGTCTCGATGGCAAGCCGCTAGTAGGGGGCCCAGAATGGCTGCTCTGTAGTAGCTGTCTAGGTTGGGCACTCCCATTCCCCCATTTTTGCGTGGCATGTATAGCGTGCTTTTCGCTACCCGTGCTTTTTGTCTGTCCCATATAAAGGTTAGTAGTGTTTGTTGAGCATCTCATATGAATGTGGGGGGTATCTTTATGGGTAACGTTCTAAACAAGTATTGCAATTTAGGTACAATGATCATTTTAATTGCGGCAATTCTCCCTGACCAAGATACGAATTTACTCTTCCATCCTAGTAGTAGGTTTTTTATTTCAGTCAGTGTTTTTTGATAGTTTATTTTAAAAAGGTTTGCTAGATTTGAGGTGAGATTGATTCCTAGGAATTTTAGATGGTCGTTTCGCCAGTCGTATTTAAAAGAGATACGCAGCCTATCCAAGACCTCCATCGGGATATTTATGCCCATTGCTTGAGTTTTATTTATATTAAGTTTATAATAGGAGCACTTGCTATATTGGGTGAGCGTATCGTGGAAGTTAGGTAGGGATATGTGTGGTTGCTCGAGTGTTAAGAGGATGTCGTCTGCGAAAAGTGTGAGTTTATGTTCCTTGCCTTGTCTCATAATGCCGTGTATGTTTGGGTTGTCCCTAATGAGTTGCGTGAGAGGTTCTAGCGAGAGAATGTAAAGGAGAGGCGATAGTGGGCAGCCCTGTCTTGACCCGTTGGTTATGTGGAATTGTTTAGAGCTAAAGCCCCCATTGGTGACTTTCGCTGTCGGTTTAGAGTATAATGCCCTTACTAACCGTAGGAAAGTGTCTGGGAAGCCATATTTGATCAGAACAGCTTGGAGGAAGGGCCAATGCAATCTGTCGAAGGCTTTTTCAGCGTCAAGTGACAGCATAACGCACTGGGCCCCCCTCCGCTTCCTCCCTGTAGTAGGTCCAAGATCTTTCGGGTTCCGTCCGCTCCTTGCCTGCCACTAACAAATCCCACCTGGTCCTCATGTACCAGGGTCGGGATAATGTTCTTTAATCTGTTAGAGAAAATTTTTGCCAGTAATTTGATGTCCGTGTTGAGGAGGGAGATTGGTCTTAGATTTTGGCATTTGTTAGGTGGTTTGCCTGGTTTTGGCAATGTAGCCACATGTGCCATGAGCATGTCTTGGGGCACTTGGCCCGTCGTGAGGATATGGTTAAAGGTTTTGTCCAGATATGGGGTCAGGATTGTGGTCATTGTCTTGTAGTAGGAGTTTGTGAGTCCGTCGGGTCCCGGTGATTTGCCATGGGGGAGTGAGTGTATAGCTTGTTGTATTTCTTCTTGTGTGACTGGGTGTTGTAGGATAGTTTTCTGGTGTTCCGTCAGTGTGATTGTAACGGACCGTTTTGCACAAAAAGGGATAAAACCCGCTTAGACGATAATCCCCCTTTCAGAGACAGGCACAGCTACTGTAGAATCACCAAAACTCACGAACTGAATACAAGTGAATGCTCCAAACTCCTGAACGGCATACAAGGGAATGCTCCAAACACTCGAACTGCATACAAGGGAATGGTCCAAACACTCGAACTGCATACAAGTGAATGCTCCAAACTCTCGAACTGCATACAAGTGAATGCTCCAAACTCCCGAACGGCATACAAGGGAATAAGGTAGCACTCCAAATACACGAACAGGAACCATACAAATTGCTGCTACCAGACGAATAGGAAAAGCATCCAAGCGGCTTACACTCCTAGCAATCAGTCTCTATCAGCAGTCAGTAAATCCCCCCAAAGACGAGACAAGGCTCCGTGTTGAGGGTCAAGCAGTGGTCTGTTTAATGAGGGCTACCTGCCCAGTATTTATGCAGGTCTCCCACCTGGTGGACACTCCCCTAGGGGACCAAATGGGAGACTGTGACAAGGGACAGACAATTAGACAAATAGGACACACAGTCACAGTATTTCCCACAATGCAATGCATCCTGGCTTCCTCCCCTCTGCCCTGGGAGATAATTGGAAAGTAACTCAATTATCCCAGCCACCCAGCATTCATCAATTAAGCTGCGGTTAACCGCAGCTTCAGGGAGGTTAATTGCCGGAACACTCCAGCTCCCAGGTGGTCCAGTCATTCGTACGGTTGTTCGGTAGATTGAAACTACCGAACAACCGGCAGAAAAGCACGAATACAGCTTTTCTGCATGCAAAAATAAAGTCTTTTAAAAGGGGGCCATAGTCCAAAGGCAGCAGGCGAGCAACCAGGCTTCTCCAATGCAATGTGGCGAGATTGGTCTCGTCACATCTCTCCCCTTTTCCAAACAGACTAACAGGGTATCTGACCTCCTGCCGGTCAGTGCCCTTGTTAGTCCAGCAGCCCACCCACAAAACATAATCAACAGCACAGCCCACCCACAATAAATGGTTACTGCACCTGGGTAGAAGGAGAAGCTTGTCCATGTCCAGGTGCCTCACCACGGCTGTGCTGGGTACGGGTACGCTGACTTGGTGGGTGCTGCATGGGCAGAGACCAGCGGCACTCTGCCCTGTTGCCAGCGCTACTGGGAGGGTAGCCTGGTTGAAGCCTGGTTGTTGGAGGGGGAGACCGACTGTCTCCCCTTTAAATACACAGCTCTGCTGCTGGAGACCGACTGTCTCCCCTTTGGTTACACAGCTCTGCTGCTGGAGACCGACTGTCTCCCCTTTGGCTACACTGCCCTGTCGCTGGGGGGCAGAACCGACCGTCCCTACCCCCTGTGCTGTATGTGCAAAGACCACGGTCCCATCTGCACAGTTGTGGGGCTTACTGTCTCCCCTCCCACTGGAGTAGGAGGAGTTTGCCATTACTGCTGGAGAGGGAGCTGCTCTGTGCTTCATCTGTGTGTTACCAGGACCACACCCGTTTGTGGCTGCTTTGGAGCTCGATTTCTGGGCTTTGGAATTACTACAGCAAGGGGCTCTGCCTGGGCCTAGGCAAGCATGGCCCTCGGGCCTTCCTCCCCAGCCTGGGGATGGAAGGTCAGGCTGGACGAGCTGCAGGCAGTGCTGGCTTTTGGGGAAGGTAAGGCGGATACCAGGGGCCTGTCTTGGACTGAGCATCAGGCCCTCTCCCGGCAAATACGAAACCAGGTCTCCCTGTTGGAGGAACTGGCGGGGGGGATGTCTAGGAAGCTTACAGCATGGAAAAGGGAAGTGGGGGTCCCCCAGGGAGCTATGGCCCACACCAGGGCCGATATCCAGCTGCTCTCTGGGCTGCTGGCTGAGTGCCGTGAACTTGCCAGCAGTGGCCTCCACTTCCTAGAACAGCCCCCCCCGTCCCTGGAGGTGGGAGAGGGTACCGAGGAGGAGGTAGTCCCTGAGACCCCCCCTGAGGTGGCTAGTGCCAGCAAGACCCCTCAGGCCTCCCTCACCTATGCTGAGGCTGCAAAGGGTGAGGGGGTTGAGGCTAGGGTCTTTATGGGGCTACCTTCTGACAGGCTCCGGGGTCTGCTTGTGTCCCTGAAGGCCCAGCATGCCGAGGCAGACTCTGGCCTAGCTGGGGTCCAGGCAGAGCTAAGGGAGCAGAGGGAAAAATCAAACAGGACCTCTAATTACAAAAGAGGTCCTTTGAGGGCCGCTATAGCTGAGAAAAAATTAGTGGAGCAGCATCTATCCTACACCCTGCTCCAGACTGAAAAGAAAATAGCAGACATCCAGGCCATCCTGCAACAGAGAGCCAAGGACGCTGCGAGGTCCAGGAGGCAGAGGGCTATGGAGGGCAGGAGGGACATGTCCCCAGGTGAGGAGTCCAGCAAGGACTTGGATTCCAACTCCCATCACTCACCTGGGGAGCCGTCTACCTCTGCCCTTGCTACTCCAGGGGGCGCTGCTGAGACGGAGGGGAAGGCCAGAGAGAAGGACAGTGAAGAGGAGTGGGACGGAGAGAAAGGTGAAGAGTGGCAGCTGAAAGTGCAGGACAGAGGTCGAGGGCTGATTAAGGAGTCTCTCCTCAAGTTTGGAAACGAACTTGGGGAGGACTCCGTAAAGGACAAAAAGAAGAAAAAGAAAAAAAGAAAAACATCGCCCGGCGTCAGCCTGAGACCTCTGTCAGGGGGTCTGGAGATTCCACAGAGGAGGGTGAGTGCTCAAATGCTGAGTATATGTACAATGATGATGTTCAGGCCTTGCAGAAGCCTGGGGCCAGGGATACTAACCCTGCAGGTGGCAACACCTGTATGCCCCAGAAACCTGCACAACCTGCTTCTGTGGAAGTATCTGGGCCCCCCGCCGCCCTCCATGGTGACAGGGAGACCATCCCCGCCGGTACTATGGCGTGTACCGGTGATCCCATGGAGGGGTCCTTCCCTTGCTCCCTTCCCACTCCCTCCCTTACCTGCCTTCCCTCTGACCTTCCTCTCCGTGTGGTTGCGTCCCCTGGAGTGGCTGGTACCTCTGCCTCCTGTCCTCAGGCGGCTGCTGGGCAGGATGGCACTGGATGGAGCAGTCTGGAGCAGGGTGATGGCCCTCCTTTTCCCTCTGCTCCCTTGGAGCAAGCTCGACTGCTCTCCCCTACCAGCAAGTCTCCTCCCCTGTTTGTCCCCCAGTCTGTTTCCCTGGATGTGTCCAAGTTTGTCTTCCAGTCTGTTCCCCCTGCTTCCCTATGTGTTCCCCTTATGTCTGCATGTGTAACCAGTCCCCCTGTTGTTCCTGTTGTTCCTGGTGCCCCGGGTGCCGCTGGCGCTATGGAAGACAGGACTGCAGGGGACTCCCATCATCCTCAGCCAGCAGTCCATACTGAGGAAACCGCCAGTGGAGGTAAGAAAAGTATGACTAACATTGTGTTTGACTCCACTGGTGGTTTAGGGATGGCTGAGGAGGATGGGAGTATGGATGTAAATGTAATGATGGGACCTATTGGCCTTAGTAAAAAGGTCCACAGCCAGCCTGTTTGTATTAATGATGTTGCCCCTGCCCCTGGTGTTGTTGCCCCTGCCCCTGGTGTTGTTGCCCCTGCCCCTGGCGTTGTTACCCCTGCCCCTGGTGTTGTTGCCCCTGCCCCCGGTACTATTGCCCCTGGTGTTGTTGCCCCTGCCCCTGGTGTTGTTGCCCCTGCCTCTGGTTATGTTGCCCCCGCCCCCGGTACTATTGCCCCTGCCCCTGGTACTGTTTCCCCTGCCCCTGGTTATGTTGCCCCCGCCTCAGGTTATGTTGCCCCTGCCCCTGGTTCACTGGAGTTAGTTGGTACACAGGTGGCGGGCACGAGCACGGGCACAGGCACCCTGACAAAGGGTGCCGCGGTTATAAATAGTTTAGACGCACAAGCAGGTACACGGGTTCCCCTTAGGCACTCCCAGGTTGTCACCCAGGGTTCTGGTGTGACCGAGGCCTCTGGTTCAGCGAGGGGAGTCCGTCCGAATCATTCCCAGACGGCGGGTCCCGGTGCGCCCAATGCTTGGGCATCTGGGCCACCTCGCCTCTCTGCGGACGGGCCTGCTACGCGTCCTCAGGTTTCCTTTGGGAACAGGAGGAACGTGGTACGGCTCATCTGTGGGGGTGAGACCCAGGTGCCTGACAGACGGTGGCTGGTGACCCGGCTAAAGGATATGGGATTTGCGCCCGTGGACCTGTACGCGCTCATCCATGCCTCGGGCACCCGGGAGTTCGACGTCTCCTTTATGACGTCGCAGCTCCTGGATCGCTTCTGGGCTGGGTGGGAAGCGGCCAGGTCTGCACAGGGTACAAAGTGGGCAGGATTCACCGCTGTGGCCATTTCTCGCCAGGGTCTTAAGAAGGTCACTTTCCTGGTGAGAAATGAATCCATCCCCATAGCAGACATCCTTGTTTGGACTAAGAGGTTTGGGGATGTTAAATCCCCCCCTGTTAAGATCTTAGATGAGGATGGGATTTGGACAGGCGGATGGACTGTTTCAGTGTTGCTGCGGGAGATTCGAGGTGTCACACAGCATATGCCTAATAGTTTTTTCATCGGGGCTGACCGGGTATCCTGTTTTTACCCTGGTCAGCCCAGGGTATGTCACAAGTGCGGATCGTACAGGCATTACAGCAATGCCTGTACGGTCCTCAAATGCACTATGTGCGGCGCTGTGGGGCACCTCCGGGACAGCTGCAGGGAGATCCGGTGTCATCTGTGTTCAGAGATGGGTCACACGTACCGCACCTGCCCCGAAGCCCAGCACAATGTAGAGTCCATCTGGAGTCAGGAGCCGGTGGAGATGGACTCTGCTGGGTTAGGGGTTCAGGTAGCATCGTCATCTACAAGGCCCATCTCTGGCACAGGGGTTTCCCTGCCCCAGCAACAACCCATCCTCCCCTCGGTCTCTGTAACATCTCAGGACCCTGGGAAGGCCACAAGTTCACGTCCCCTCACGAAAAGTGTACGTAGAGAACGCACTACCTCCACAGCCATTATGGCTCCCCCTAGACCCCCTCCCCCTAGGCCCCCCCCTCCTAAATTCTCCACGGTGAAGGTTACCCCCACTGAAAAGTCCCCAGATGCACGTCCCTTAGATGCACAGTCCCTAGAGTGGAGCACGGTGAAAGGTAAGAAACCCCCCCCCTCCAAGACCTCGACGCTGCCCTCACCCCGGAAGATCGCCATACCCCCTGCGGCGAAACCCCCGAAAGGGGGAGACGCCACTTATAAGGGTGGTGTGGCACGGGCGTCATCCTCCTCTTCGGGCTTGCAGGAGGCCCCGGTGCCCGTATCTAACAGGTACGAGGCACTGTCCTCCAGCTGGGCCGACTGTGAGTACGAGGAGGAGATGGCGAACCTCCCCGAGGTGGTGGCAGGGGTTGAGGTGGGACAGGAGGTGCTTCTGAGAGACGACGGGCCACTGTATCCCGGAGTCTCAGTGAAGAGGTTCCTCGGTTCCGACACGGAGGAGGAGGGGTACCGCAGAAGGAAGGGAAAGTCTCCTTATACTTAATGCCCTTATGGCGACTTTTCCTGTACTCTCTGTGGCTACGGTGAATGTAAACAGCATTAAGTCCAGCAGGGCCCGCTTTTTGGTTTACGACCACCTCAGCCGGGCTCCGTACAATGTCATCTTGGTACAGGAGACCCGGCTGGAAACCCTCGCGGCCCTGCACGCTGCAAAGCGGGACTGGAGATGGGGGCCCTCCTACTTCTCTCTAGCCACAGAGAGATATGGGGGAATCGCCATCCTATTTAAGGACGTTGATGTTAGCATCAACAGGGTTATTGAGTTGCAAAAAGGACGGTGTGTGGTTTTAGATGTCTCAATGGGCAGGCAACCTTTCAGGATAATTAATATCTATGGCCCCCAATCTAAGTGGGAGAGGAAGCGCCTGTTTATTGAGATAGAGCCTTACCTTTATACATCCCAGCAAATCCTGTTTGGCGGTGACTTTAACACCATAACTAGGCCTCAAGACAGGAGAGACGCCACTCAGAGGCTGGGGTATGACTCCTATTTTTTAAATAAGATGGTTAGTCAGGCTGGATTGGTCGATGTGTACCTTCATCACACTCCCAATCCCACGGGTGGGTACACTTATCACAGAGGTAGCTGTCAGAGTAGGATAGATAGGTTTTTCTTTAAGGAGAATTTCCCGGTGGCGGCACCCGTGCTTACACCGGTGGAGTTCTCCGACCATCACATTTTGTCTTGCGAAGTTGAACGTCTATAGTACCCCACCTAAGGGTAGAGGGATCTGGCGGCTAAATTCAGACCTCCTGGTGGAACAGAGGGTTCAGCAAGCCTTCATGGAATTCTTTCACGATCAGATGACATTGGCCGACTTAGGCCAAACGAAGTCTGAGTGGTGGGAGATGGTGAAGGCCAGAACTCAACGGCTGTTTCGCAATCTCGCCCGGAACATGCAGTCCTCCAGGTACAAGATGTATCTGGGCTTGCTTGGGAGGTTAGACATCCTGATCTCGCAGGGAGGTGACCCCGAGGACATTGCGGCAGTTAAAAACCTGATGAGGAGTTATCAGTATGACAGGTACGCCTCCCTTGTAAAAGAGAGAGATCATGGGTCATACCGCTCGCCCGATCCTTATCTTAGCTGCAAGCGGAAGGAAGGTACCAAGTCCATCCCTAGTCTGCGGGGCACTCGCGGGATTCTGAAGGTGGTCCGCGACTACTATATTGAGCTCCTCGGAAAGGGCAGCCCCCAATGTAGCGAGGAGGGAACCTCCCACGGGAGAAGGGTGGATGACTTCTTGAACGAGCTCACGCTCCCTGAGCATAGCGACCTCTCTTTTGACGAGTTGGTCAGCAAGATCACCATAGAAGAGGTCACAGAGAGTATCCAACAGCAGAACAAGTGTAAGTCGCCAGGTCCTGATGGTCTGACGGCCGAGTTTTACCAACAGTTCTGCGACCTCTTGGCCCCTCATCTGACCGAGGTGTTTAATGAGAGCTTGACTCAAGGATTATTGCCACCCTCGATGAGGACTTCTGCCCTGATCTTGCTGTCCAAGCCGAACGTGCTCGACACAGCGGATGTGGGGAACTGGCGCCCCATATCCCTGTTAAATGTCGACAGGAAGGTCCTGGCAAAGATTTTGATGAAACGAGTACAGGGCCTAGCGAGGCGTGTCCTATCCACCTCCCAGTACTGTTCAATCGAGGGCAGAACTGTCTTTGATGCCGTTTTTTGAAGTCAGGGAAGCCCTCGAGAAGTGCAGGGACGGAGAAAGGGGGATATACCTTCTGGCACTTGATCAGTCCAAAGCTTTTGATCGAGTAGATCACCGTTATCTGTGGTCAGTCTTGCGGAAGTATGGCTTGCCGGGAAAATTCGTCAATTGGATAATCACCTTGTACAGAGGGGCCGAAAGCTTCGCTCTTGTGAACGGGTGGAGGGGCAGGACGTTTAGGATCCGATCCGGGGTCAGGCAAGGCTGTCCTCTCAGCCCACTCTTGTACGTGTTTGCAGTCGATCCCTTCATCCGAAGGGTCGAGGCAGGCACGTTACAGGGAGTGGCCAGGGCTCCGGAGAGGCCTTTACGGGTTGTTGCCTACGCTGATGACATCTCCATAGTGGTCTCCAATACTCGGGAGGCCACGGAGGTGGATGATTTAATCCTAGCGTATTCTGCCGCTTCAGCCTCTCGTGTCAACAGGGACAAGAGCGTAGTTTTCTGGTGCGGGAAGGAGGGGGACCAGTTCCCTCTTCCAGACGGTTTCCCGAGGGCCCAGCCTGAAATTAAGATCTTGGGGGTGGTGTTCGGACCAGGGGATCTGGCTCTCAGGAACTGGACCGAACGGCTTGCCATAGCTTCTAGCAAGGTGGAGGAGAGCCACAGGTGGAAACTGACGTTCAGAGAACGGGTGAACCTAATCAAAACCTATGTTCTGACCGTATTCGGCTACGTCAGTAACATCTTCCTTTTGCCCAGGTCCCTCCACGCTCGGATGTTTGCGCTGTTCTTCCGCATGTTGTGGGGGAACAGGCTGAACCTCATCAAAAGAGTGGTCACTTACCTGGCCAGAAAGGACGGGGGTCTGGCCATGGTCAACCCCATCGTCTTCTTTACTAACACCTTCCTGAAAAGGAATTTCGGGGCTCTCCTGAAGGACGAGCAGCCTGGCTGGGTATGTATATTCAGGGAGTGGGTCACACCTTTCCTGGTGGACTGGTTTCAGGGTGGGAGGGTGAAGAGCATGAGAGTTCGGCATTCTAGCTATCTTCCGTCTTCAGTCATCAAGGGAGTGGGAATTCTGCGCAGGTGGAACGTCACGGTGGAGGAGGTTCGGGACACTCCCAAGAAGCTTCTCGACGGGAGGGTCCTGGCCACCCACTTTGGCATTCAGCTTGCTTTGAAGGACTGCCCGCCAAGTACTCTCGCCTCGGGGTTGAAAAACATCAACTCCAGGCGCCTTCCGGAGAAATACCGAGACGTGGCGTTTCTCTCCTTCCACGGTAGACTTTACGTTCGAGGGAACTTGAAGTACAGGAACATAACGGATCGTGGTTGTCCTCGGGTGGAATGTTCCGGGGAAGTGGAGTCCATGGACCACTTCCTCCTCGAGTGCCCCTTTAACGTACAGGTCTACAAAGAGGTCTCAGCCGCCTTAGGCATCCCCTGCTTATCCCGCTGGACTTATGCGGAGTGGGCGTACGGGACGTCCAACTCAAGGGGGAGGGCTTTTGATTTGGGCACTCTTTATGTAGTCAGTTCAGTGGTTAAGTATTTCACTTGGATGGCAAGGTGTCAGGTTTCCCTTCAACGTAAAGACCTTTCCTGTCAGGTGGTGGTAGCAGACATTCTGAGGGCGGTTCGTGGGATCTATACCACCGAAAGGGCCTCTATGGATCCCACCATTTGGCAGCGTTTGTGGCGAAATCTCAAGGTCCACCCGCCTTGAACCGCTCCATAGGGCACCCTTGTCTTGGTGAAGGGAATTCCAAATCTGTCTTCACCTTTCCCCCGTAGATTTTGAACTGGTTTTTCTTTTCATGGAAGGCTGCCACCTTTAGCAGACGAGTACCTTCCTCTGCGTCTAGGTAGTGCAGTGTAGTTAGGTTATGGTTATGGTTATGGTTATGCACAGGTTATTTTTGGTATTGTTTGGGTTAGGGTGGGTTTCTGGTGTATGGACAAATTGAAAAATTTACTTTGGGTGGGAAAAAAAAAAAAAAAACACTGGGTTTCTTTATGGACGGAGGGATGGACTCCTTGAGGGTGGTGTACAAACTGGATTTCATGTGGGTGGTGGGTCTATGGACAAAATTTTGATTTCATGTGGGTGGTGGGTTTGGATGTGATGAACTGAGAAAAGGACTCCATTTGGGTGGTGGGTTTGGGGGATGGACGGAGGGATAGACTCCATGAGGGTGGTGGGTTTTATGAATTGAAAATGGACTCCATTTGGGTGGTGGGTTTGGGTTTAAAGTTTGGGTTTAAAGTGTAGGTGGTGGGTTGGTGTTGATGGACGGAGGGATGGACTCCATGTGGTTGGTGGGTTTTATGAACTGAGAAAAGGACTCCATGTGGTTAATGGGTTTGTTTATGTTTATGTGTGTATTTTATTTCACGCTTGGTTTATGTTTGTGTTTAGCTGGCTGTGGACTCGAGGTCAATTGGGTCCCCCCTTGTCCCCCCTTGTTATGTAAGAGCTCCTTCAGGAGCATTTCAGCCTTTTTTCTCCCTCCCCAAGGCTCCATGAAGTAATGGAGCCCCCCGCCTTTTAATTTATCCCCTTATGATTTAGTTCCCCCCCCCTTTTCTGTTAATCCCTCTCCCTGTTATTCCCAGTTATTTAATTTGGTATAAGTTTACTCCCCTATTAGTGCCCCTTCCTGAGTTTTTATTTCGGTATTTATGTTTAATTTTGGGGTATTTATGTTTCATTTGGTATTATGTTTGAATTGGGCATTATTTCAGTTGATTGTTTATTATTGTTATTTTGTTATTTAATTTGTTATTCTGTTTAATTTTGGAAGCATTTTACAAACTAAATAAAATAAAATACTGTCTCCCCCGGGTACATTAAGCTGCCGCTGGGGAGAGGGGGTAACAAGCTCCTCTCACATATATACTTCCAGCCGCGGGGGAGGGAGACCGACTGTCTCTGCTCCCAATACAGAGTCCTGCTGCTGGGGAAAGGAGACTGGGATCTCTATTCCCGGTAGGACACTCTGCCGCTGGGGAATGGAGACTGGGCTCCCAATGCCCAATAAATCATTCTGCCGCTGGGGAATGGAGACTGGGCTCCAAATCCCCAATAAATCATTCTGCCGCTGGGGAAAGGAGACTGGGCTCCCAATTCCCTGTAATTCGCACTGCCGCTGGGGATCTGAGCAGACTGCCCAGCATCCCTGTAGATCACCCTGCCGCTGGGGAGGAAGGACGCTGCTCTCCTCTCCCTGCAAGGTACACTGCCGCTGGGGGACAGGACCACTTGTCTCTGCCCCCTGTAACTCAGCCTGCTGCTGGGGAATGGAGCTCGGGTGGAGCTCGGGCTCCAAATTCCCTGCAATTCACTCTGCTGCTGGGGGACAGAAGCAACTATCTATGTCCCCTGTAACTCAGCCTGCCGCTGTGGAATGGAGCTCGGGCTCCCAATTCCCTGCAATTCACTATGCTGCTGGGGGACAGAAGCAACTATCTCTGTCCCCTGTAACTCAGCCTGCCACTGGGGAATGGAGCTTGGGCTCCCAATTCCATGCAATACCGGTGGAGAGACCTCGGTCCCATCTCCACCCGCCACCTGGGGATCTTCCTAGTAATCCCAGTAATCCTCCACAATATCTACCCAGCTGAATGGGTCTGGATCTGGGTCTCCGCTTCCCTGCTGAGGCTTCTCACTGGAGTGGAACAGATCTTGGTAGCTCTGCTCCAGCTCTGTCTATCGGGTCACCAGGTGGACCAGGTCTTGCTCAATTTTGTGAGTGTCATCCCAGTCATACCTGCTCTCCCTCCACTCCAAGAGATCACTGAACCGGGCTTGTGTAGGGCTCCCAAAGTCAGGCTCTGCAAAAGACTCCCATAACAAGCCAGGACCATCAAACTCCTCTCCCTCTGGTTTGTCATGCTCGGCTGTCCAGGGCAGGTACTGTGCCCCATACCACCAGAGCGCCTGGTAGGCATCTTCTAGCCACAACTCCTGGTGTTCCAATTTCCTCACCCATTCATCCAGGGGCTGCTCTCCCAGAAAGGGCATCCGCAGGGCTACTCGCTTCTGCAGTCGCTGGTCTTCCTTGGGGAGTCTCTCGCCCCGCTGGCACTCCACAATACCCAGTGCCTTTGCACAGCGCATCTCAGTCATCCAGGGCACCCTCATCATACTCCAGTGCTGGTTCCATCTCGGTGCTGTCAGGGTCGCTGTACTGGGACATGCGTTGCCCTCAATAGTAAAAATCCCCGGAATGGTGTCGCCCGTAGCTGTCCTTTTGTCTGTGGGAACGATCCCACCGCTGCCACCAATTGTAACGGACCGTTTTGCACACAAGGGGTAAAAACCATTTAGGTGATCATCCCCTTTCTCAGAGATGCAGGCACAGCTACTGTAGAACACCAAACTCTTGAACCGCAAATAAGGGAATGCTCCAAACTCCCGAACGGCATACAATATAGCACTCCAAACACACGAACTGGAACCATACGAATCGCTGCTAGCAGACGAATAGGAAAAGCACCCAAGCAGCTTACACTCCTAGCAATCAGTCTCTATCAGCGTTCAGTAAATCCCCCCCCAAAGACGAGACAAGGCTCCGTGTTGTGGGTCAAGCAGTGGTCTGTTTAATGAGGGCTACCTGCCCAGTATTTATGCAGGTCTCCCACCTGGTGGACACTCCCCTAGGGGACCAAATGGGAGACTGTGACAAGGGACAGACAAGTAGACAAATAAGACACACAGTCACATTATATTCCCACAATGCATCCTGGCTTCCTCCCCTCTACCTTGGAGATAATTGAGAAGTAATTCAATTATCTCCCAAGACAAAGGCAAATCACCATTATGCACGTGGGGATACTAACACACGAATTACTATTAAAATACACTGTGTGAGACACATAACATTAAAAGCATACATTTAACATATCCCCA